TGGTGTCATGATAGTAATAGTAAGGATGAGGATTGTGATGGGGTGATGATGATGATGATGTGATGATGCTCATGGCGGTCATGATGATGATGATGGTGGTGATGATGATGAGGATAGAGATGAGGATAGAGATGAGGATAGAGATGAGGATAGACATGATGATGAGGAGGATGCGGGTGATGATGAGGATGGTGATGATGATGATGGTGATGATGATGATGATGATGGTGCTGACAATGATGATGATGATGGGTATGATAATGGTGATGATGATGAGGATCAGGATGGTCATGATGATGCTGGATGCTGGTGATGGTGATGGTGATGATGGTGATGGTGATGATGATGATGACGCTGAGGACCATGATGGTGATCATGATGCTGATGGTGGATGATAATGCGGGTGGTGATGATCATGATAATAATGGTGGTGGTAGTGATGTGATGATGTTATGATGATAATGAGGATGATGAGGAGCCTATGGGGCTAAGGTGTCTCATTTACGAAAAAAAACGTCTAGACGTTGCTTTTCAACACTTGCTGGGCCAACCATCCACTTGCCTGGGCTTACGGTTTGCCAGTTGTAGCATGCAGACACGCTTGTCCAAATTTTCAAATGATCGCGGCATCGTAAGCAAAACCGGCGGTGCGCTATGACTGGTGGCTTGGATCGGTGGTTTGCTCACAGGCCCCAGTCGGGTACCGATTGCACCGTCGGGCCTGAAGCTATTTATACTAACCTGGCATTATACTAACCTGGCAGCCTGCTGGGCCTTACCAAAAAAGGAAGGGTATAATATATGTTCACAGTGAATGTGTGATGGTTTTCTGTGCTGAATACCAAGAAGGTAACCATGTGTTTTATATCATATAGATGCGCAAGTGAAAAACTCATGTTTTAGTATTTGCATATATGTATGTATGAACAGATGTATGTACATACATATGTATGCATACGAAATATAGCTTAAAATAAGTACGCATGATGAATGAACACACTTCTATGTACATTGGAATTGTCGTCCCCAACATCATCATCATCATCCTCATCATCATCAGCAGCATCACCACTCTCATATCTACTTGACATAGAACATACAGATGAAAATGTGTCAAGCAACAGTAAGTCCTATATATGTATGTATCGACACTTCATGTTTACAATGATAATTGGCAAGCTTCAATCATAATACTCAGATAGATATTGGAACCATTCTCCAAACATGATAGAACATGTGCCACTATATTTCAATCCTAAAAGTTCAATTTCTCAGTACAATATTATTTGCAGTTCTATAATTCTCAAACATATCTATAAGTGAATCACTCGCCAAACCTTCAAGCAAGTACATCTCATGAAACACAAAGAACGGACAAATAGCAGCAGACACAAAAAACACACGCACACAAGAAATAGACAAAAATAACACACCCACAAGTAACACAAACAAGCAACACGCGCCACACACAAAAATACAAGTAGCAAACACACACACACACACAAATAACACACACACACACACGCACACACGCCTCACACACACACACAAACGCGCAGAACTAGCACACAGACTCTCTCTCTGTCTCTCTCTCTCTCTCTCTCTCTCTCTCTCCGTGATACAAGTGTGGCAGCCCCCAATCACAGCGACGCCAGGCACAGGGAGCGCAGGCGTTCCGAGGGGGGTGGGGCGGAAATGAGTGGTGTCGTCCACACTGTGGGTCAAGACAGTCTGCTATGTACGACACGAACAGAAAGTGACAAGTGCCAAAGCACGGTAGATGACTGCCAATAAGGCCCAAACAAAACGCCAAAACCATACAAGAGAAAACGAAACAAAAAATCCGCCGCAATGCAAACAAACAGCTCTCATCAGACTGTATGATAAGTGTAGCCGGGAGGTAAACTTTGGCAGGTTCAGCTCGAAAGCTGCAACTTTTGAGCGCAAGCGTAGTTCGCGAAGCACAGCAGAAAAGCAGGCAACATCCATGGCAAAGCTCTCTTTCTTCCCATTCGCTCGGGTGCTCCGACTTCGCCGCCAGCGCGATTTCGCGTGGGCGATGAGGGCTTTGCTTTTCTGAGGGCACCCTTGAAAAGGTGTTTCCCTTTAGTTTTGCTCTAAGCCCAAAAAGGGAACCCTCAAACACAGACACGCCCGTGAGACGGCTACGTAGGACGAGCTTTCCGTAATCGGGATTCGGCAGCAAGCTCCTGAGGAGTTGCAATGCTTCCTGGGCACATGGCAAGCCTGGCCCCACCTCTGTCGCGGCGCCAGGCCGAAAAACATGCAGCCCTTTCCCTTGGGTCTAAACATACAGGGGAGCCGAGCACGTTAAAGGGCTCAAGGCTCGCGCAATTGAAGAGAGAAAGAGAGAGAGAGAGAGAGAAACAAATCTGTACAAGGCGAGTTGCCTCTCGCGAAAAGCCGCTTGTGATTCTCGTTTTGCAGGTTGGGACTTTTTGTGGAGCCTATGACTAGTTGGGTTAAAATTCCGCTCTGGTCAAAAGATCTCAACCCGTCGTTTGTTCTCATTTTTCTCGTCCTTCTCACTTGCACGCAAAGCTGCTCTGAGCTTTGTGTGAAAAGGGTCCTGCGCGGCCCGTCGGGGGCCATGATCTGGTCACCCAAACACAAGTATGAGGAGGCCCGCTAGTGTCCCTCCCAAATTGACTACTGGATCACAAGAGCCGGCTCTTATCTTGAAGGAGTGTCCTGAAACCCACCGCCAGTGCGGCAAAACTGGATATCGGTCGCGCGATACCTCCCAGGTCGAAGTTGCAGTCTGATCATTATGAGGAACCCCTGACATATTCTTTCAATGACAACGGCGCCGCCCAACGAAGTTTGCGGTCTGCGAAAAACCAAGGACTTGTTCAATGAATTTTTGAAAAGCCAGGCTGCATGCTTCCCGCATTTTCAAGCACAAGCTAGTGGGGCTTGCAAAAAAAAACGCTGGGCAGCGCGCGTAATCAAGTGGGAGACGTACAGCTGATCCTGAGCCATACTAACCATAGTCAAAGTGTGTGTTATATGAGCCTTTGGTTCCTGCAAAGGACATGAGAAAATTAAATGTCGTCTGACGTATTTGGCACTCTTGAAGTCAGTAGGGAAAAATTGTCCCCAAAGATTTCCGAACAAACCTTCTTGGAAAGGGTTCTCACAACCTCTCGACATGTTTCATGTTTCGAAACAGCCTCCCTGAACGGAGTACTGTGCATTCACCCGACAATTGGCTAGCTCTTCTGCCTTGTCGTAGGAAAGGAGCAAGGGAACGCAGTCTCAACGCAGCGCAGATTTCTTCGGAGAAGTGGCCACCCAAACAAACACGGTGATGCACCTCGTGCGTGAAGCAATACTGCGTCGGGTTGATCAAGCGGTCCGCGGCTGTTGTTGATGGTGCCTCCTGCAAACGCATCCCAGTCTCACACACACACAACCCTGATTGTTCTCAAGTTCTGTGCCAACTAGCCATTGGCCGGGCATCCTGAATGTCACTCTCTATGCTACCCCCCCCCCGGCCAAAGAACAAACCGCAGCCGGTCGAAAAAGGGGCCACTGTTTCTCCGCAAGACGTCGCTCCCGCTCTTTCCCTTTCACGAGGCGCGCCCCAACCTCGGAGAGAGATACAACGCACGGGTGGGAAAGGCAAAAACGGCTTGTTCCACTTCCCCACCCAAAAGGGGAGGTTTTCACGAATCACTCGAGCTTTGTTACTCCGGAAGTTGGGAGGAGGCGTGTCTCTTCCAACACAAGGAGTATAGACGCATCTGATTCGTGTGAATAGTCTTCAGTAGTGCTAGCTTCATGCGCTGAAACTGATGGATGTTTTGCAGAACTGTTTGCTTGCCGGAGCTAAGGCTGCAGCGGCTGCCAATGTCACGCCTACCATGCGAAGCTGGATGGAAGTTCCCCGCAGGGAATGGAACGGCCCTCCCTACAAACAAGCAAGCAAAATTGCGCCTCCGTCATTCTCGCCAATTTATTGGGGAGAGACTCAAACATTAAGCCGGCAAGTATCTTAAAATGGCTCGGAAAGACTTGACCCTGGGAAGCGGGAGCGCCCAGGCCAAGAAGTCGGGCGCACACATATGCCGAGAACCATCTTCGCCCGGATACGCATACCTTCAGACATGAAAGCTTCATCAGGCCTAGACTAAACTCATAAGAGCTTGGAAATTCCATTTTTTTCGAGGCCAGCTCTGATGGGCCACTCCAGCATGCGTGGCCTGAGCCAAGGCGTTGCCGTTAGGAAAGCATACTGCGGACAAGCACCGCTGGGCGCCAAACCACATAGGCGCCGAAGCCATAATTGCCAGTCACCTCAAGGCAAATTGAGAGCCCCCACCGTGAACATGGTCAAAACTCCTTGGCTTGTTTGCAATTGGCTAGTTTGTTAGTTCGCCGGTTGGACCAACTAGCTTGCTAGCGGGCTAGTTGACCAATTAATTAGTTACATGGGTTTTGCCATTGGGGCGGCAGCGAATTAAGCACAAACCTCTCTCTCTCCACCGGTTTGCGGCTGGCCAATCAGCTCCGGCTGAGTGGCTGGCACACAAGTGTGGGTCAAGACCATCGTTCAAGATCTGCTTCACAAACCTGAGGAGCGCGCTCAAAGCCAGCCAAAGCAACGCATCACGCAAAGTGTTTTTCTAACGCCGGGCAAAAAGGTAGGGTAACATGGGCCCTAATAAACCAAAACGCTTCAGAGAAACCGGAAGCCATGTTAAAATTTGGGGGCATCCTCAGCGTCGCCCATCCCCTCAAGCGAGCCGGCTCTGGTCTGGTGCCATGAAAGGTGACCTCCACGCTCGCGGGCTCCTCCGCCTCGTGCGGTCAACATGCGAGCGGACCCAGGGTGTATGCCTGAAATCTGGACGGACCGATTCGCTGGGAAGGTTTCTTTTGCCTCCAACCTTTGCAAGGTAGTGGTCAAACTTAACAAATAGTGATGACTTTCCAATGGTCACGCAGCGTGACGTGCGCTGACCAATAGAAAAACCAAGCGAGGGAAAACGGCGGATGCGCCACGCATTCGGTATGAAATGCACAATGGATCACAATCGCTCACGTGTGTTCCTTGTCGTTGAAGCAGTTATTGCCCACGCACGCAATGACTACTTACAAAAGAGCTTGGGCCAACTGCAACGCGGGCATGCGAAAACAAGTCAGCGAAGACTGCTTAATGAATCAGAACAGCGGCGAAAATGGAGATAATTCAAAGGCGCCTCGCACGCTCTGACCGCTACGCAAGGTCTCTGCCAAGCTCTCCGCGTAAACCTCTTTCTCGCTGCAAGTTTGTCAGCGCAAGATGTTTCACCTGTGTCAAGGGGGCTAGGCGCTTCGTTCGCACAGACTCTTACGAAGCACTCGCGAAACAACGGCAAGATTTTGGCCGCTGCTCTTCTAAACGGTTGCCAACAGAGGCGGCCTCATCACGTGCGTCCAGCGCGAGTCCAATAGTGGTTTCTTCTCTACAAGGGAGCGCCTTTTACTCTCCACAGCAAAATGTTGACTCCATCCTGTGAGGCCTTGCGTCACGCGCAACTCACATCGCAAGAACTCCGCTTGGTTAAACAGCGTCCTGCGCCGCCCCCTGCTTGTTCTCATTCTGTGGACACGCAGCCATCGCCAAAGGGCCTAGAGAAGTCACTTCCGAGTAAAACGCAAGTGTTCTGGCACGGTTCTTGCTGGCCTCCGCTGCGTGGCGGGGCTTTGCTGGGTGTCGGACGCCTTGATGCTTTGTTGCTATTCGCCACTGCTCCACACATGTTCTAGTGCAGCGCATGCTGTTTGTGAAGCGCTGCAACTGTCAGTTTCTGGGATCAATGAAACCTTTGGTCTCACCAGTGCAAACTTCTTGCCAACCCATTTCGAGTTTTCGAGTTATGTGTTTGGCCACGCGTGTGGCCTGCTTGGTGGCATATGTGTAGCATGTGGTTTCCCAGCGGCGAAGTTCCACTGGCCCTGGTAGCCCTGCTTCCTGCGCCAGCCACATAGCTTGGCATGACACACCTCTCACATATGTCATGTGAGACACGCTGTGCGCCACCTGTCATGTGACACATGTTGGAAGTCAGTTCCCGCAATTGGCGATCTACTTGACGATCAAAGGGCCGTTGCTTTCAGTATGAGTGAAGCGATCAGGGAGAAAGAAAGGTTGCAAAGATCAGAACAACGGATGACACGGGCAGTACTACAGCTGTGTTAGCTTTTTGACAGTCCGCTATCCACTTTGCAAGACGCTAGCAGCATGCGGTGTTTCGAGCGTCGTTTTGCTGAACCTGTTCCCGCGACAGGCATGCTTTGGCACTGCTCTGATGGTCTCATCTTTGACTTTATTTTGGTGCAGAACGGTGTTGACTTGTTTCGCATGCTCGTGTTGCATTTGGTTGAAGCCCCCTTGTAAGAGTCACTGCGTGGAAAAATAGTTGTTTTGGCGACAATGAAAAAAGCTGAGCCGCTGAGGGCCACCGTGGGGAATTCTCTCTTTGCTTCTAAGAGGAAGAGGCCTGCATGAGCGGAGGGTAACCCGTGGTTGCTGGGACCCTTCGCAGAAACTTGACCCCTACAAAGGGAATAACAATTTCCCCCCAACAATTGATGTCTCCCTGATGGTATCCAGTTGTAAACCAACACGAAACTAGAGATGTTCTCCCAGGAAGGCTCTCCCATCTGGAGAAAAACCCTGCCAGCTCAGATTAGGGACCTTTGAAGGGAAAACACCTTGGCAAAAAGCCCTGCAACAAGCGCTCTGTAAAAGTGGCATGAGCACAAGGATGATCTTAACGTTTCCTCCAAGGGAGAAACGGAAATCAAGCCTCACCAATCCTTGGAGCGGGCGGGCAAGGAGCCCGGCCATCCGTGCAAGGAAGCGCTTCAACAGGCGAGGCTGGATCACCTGTGTTGGCCAACATTCGGAACCGGAGGCTGTGCGAACCAGAAAAACCGTGCTTCGGCAACCAATGTGAGCCGAACCAACATGCGTCAGAAACTTCGCTCTGCTTCACCGCTACACTACACCGCAGCCCCTGCAGACTGGGACTGCAGAGTCTGCTTTATGTGATGTCACATGTTTGATAGCTCCATGCACCACCTTGTTGGTCAAAAGGCCAGTGGGCGCGAACTTCCCCCGCCACAACCTCCCTCGGCACGCCCTACACAAGTGGCAGCAGTGGCATCACTAGTACAATTGATGGACACATAGTTCAGGCGCAACTTAAAAAAGGAACCCCTGCCCCACCCCCGCCCCCACCCCCGCCCCTACCCAGATGCGTCATAGACAGCGTTGGTTTCCTCGCCTGTTGGTTGCCAAAAAAGGGATACCACCAACTGTTTGGAGCGGAATCCCCCGGAAACTGCCGATTGAATCAGGTTCTACCCAGATGCCAATCTCCCGAATCAGACAGGCGAGTCCAAAGCAATCGCCTTTTTTTAGGTGCGACATGTAAGGCACATCACCGCGACTCCACGGTGTCATCTCAAAAAGGGGAAAAAATGGAAAAATAACGCAACCCCTGCAGCCCTTTTCGGCCGCCTGATCCACACTGAGAATCTCCACCGGGTCTGGCATGGAATCGAAGAAGAGCTTTTGGACCTCAGACCACCAGGATTTCCCGGGAGCCAAACCTTCGGTCGCTTCAGGGCCCCGAAGCTTTGAATTGGCTTCCCTCCTGAACCGCGCACCCCAACCAGCTCGAGGCTCAAACGCTGCAATCCACCGCCGCACCCGGGAAGGCCACCGCTGTCATCACCTAACCGAACCGCGCCAAGGAAGCACCACGTCCAAGCCGGATTGCTCCCCACGCCGTCAACCCATTCGCAACCGCGCTCCGATCTCGGCAAGACAAGCGCTCGCCCTCTTTTTCCGCTGGCCATGAGAAGCCAGAACTGGGGTGCAAGGAGGTCAACCTCCTTCTGGTTGGCGTAGAAAGCAAAACCAAAAGGAGATCAACAAAACTTCCATTTACATTGCTGGGGCGTTTAACCCATCGGGGTCCACTCAGTCTGGTGGCCCAAGACCTTCAGGACGGCGAGCCGCGCGCTGCGCCTGGGTGTCCAGGGGTCAACCAGGGCCAGAGTTTGGTAGAACTCACACAACGAATCGAGCCTCACAGAAAAATTCGGCCCACCATCTTTTGGCAAAATTCGAAGGAGCAACCCCAATTTCACAGGGTGCAAAGAAAAAGGGAAAAAGAAGCTACAAATGGCAACCCTGGCCTTGCGGGCGAGCGTTGGCCCAAAGGCTGAGCACCTAGAGTTCGCTCCACGAGTCAATCCGTCGGTCGAATCGGACTTTCAGCAAAGCCGCAATCGTGTAGGCCAAAGTGAGGAGAGCAAAGCAGGCCACTTGATACCTGCCATTCAGCCCCATGTCCCCAACTTAGCTCCGGCCAAAAGCGCTCATTTTGTGAACAGAACTTTGGAACCCAGAGCTGGGCATCGGTGCAACAACTTCGCACATTCGTCACCTCACTGGCGAGCAGCCATAGATCAAGGCCACCTCGGCATTGAGCGCAAAAAACAATCAATGCACTGTGTCCCAAGTTGGATACCTCTGCGCCCATCCCCACCCCACCCCAATCAACGGCTACGCACAAATTGAGGCACCGTCGAAAGGCAAGGTCAGGCCATAGTTGCCAGTGAGCAGCTCCCAGAAATCCTTTCTGACCTGCAACAACAAAACGGCACTTCGGATCGCACCAGTCCGCAGTGGCAAAAAGCAACCAAAAGGCATTGCTGGTTTGAGAATATGTGCCAACTTAATGGGGCACCTTAGGAAACGTCATGACTTATCCTTCACGGCCTCGAAATAATCGTCACGAATAGTCACTTGTAGGCAGCATTTGCTCCCGTTCATGTGGCTCTGAATCAGCATGCAGCCTAGGAGCTGTGATGGAAAAACACAGCAGTGGTAAAGTGTCAGAACCGAGTTGAAACCAGTGCCATCGTTTGTGTCAACCGATCTGATAAAAGAAGACAGCCGTGGCAGGCTCAGGAAGGGGGAAGAGAGAAAGGGGGACATCCTTTCACGCACCGCTGACAAAACCTGCTCTTTGTGTCACACCTGGCTTGCGGTTCATGCAGGCATGTGTGCACATTTGCATGTCCAACGAATCTGTGTACATAGTCCCTGTGCCGGTGCACATGTGTAGTGTGTGTGTGTACCTATGCAAAGCGATTACTGGCCGGTCCGCAGAGCTGAGCAAATCGTCAACGCACATGACAAGAGTGAAGCACGACGAAGGCACACGTGGGGCAAATCACAGAGTCAAAAAGCTGTTTGTAATGTTTTGTGTGCGCGTCTGTTGTCTATGTCTCTGTGTGTGCTAGACGCACCTCCCTTGGCCCTGGCACCCTGGTTTAATTCTTGAAAGCCAAAAAAACATCAAACGCCAAACTTGGATACCCAGCTCCTTGGCCCTTCCGACCACCGGATACCATCCTTGGTCATAACCCGTTATTCAAGGGGTCCGGTTCACGTGTTGGAGAATTACACCAAATCATCCACCAGGTTGATCCGGAGTCAACATGGCTCGCAAAGACAAATTTCCTCCGGTGGGGCCCATGGAACTCAAATAGGCTGTCCATGCTGTTCCCTAAAAGGAGTCTCAACTGGCCAGGGTGCATGTGCAGGGGGGAGGGAGGAGAAACAATCTTGCCACTCTCCCAGGCTAGCTTTCGGGGCAAAAGCAGAATGATGAAAGATGGAGATGCGAAGGAAAACAAAACGCAAGAAAGAGAGAGAGAGAGACAGAGAGAGAGACAGAGAGAGAGACAGAGAGAGAGACAGAGAGAGAGAGAGAGAGAGAGAGAGAGAGAGAGAGAGAGAGAGAGAGAGAGAGAGAGAGAGAGAGAGAGAGACAGCGGGGGGCGGGGGGCGGGGAGCGAGAAACAAGGCAAAAGGCAAAAAAGAAGCAAAAAGCCGCGCGCCTCCGAAATTGCCTCTGCGGCTCGGCCCTCTAGAACCGCCATGACCTCGAGAATTTGCACAAACAGCACAGGAAACTAATCCCGCCTCGACTCGAGCGCGTATTTTCGAGGTGCCCCGTTCTTTTCACCGTGGTTTGAAGGGTTGTATCCAAAAGGCTGACTACAGGGCCAACATTAAAACAAGCGCCTGGTTGAGGAATGCGGGATGTCTACAATTAAAAGGCTGAAGCAGTGAGCGCCCGGACAAACAGGAAGCACGCGCACCAGCAAGGAGTGTACCTCAAAACCCACGTTCAGATGCGCACCCATCTCTTGGGCATGATAATCCCATAGCGCTGATCAAAAGCGATGCAAGGAATCTCAGGCCTGTGTCAACATAGTCAGGCAAGCAGCCTGAGCATCTGCTTGAGGCTCCGACACCAGGGAATCAGCCAAGACCTTCTGCGCCGTGTCGATCACCTGCTGGCGATCGGTCAGCGGCCAGCACAGACGTCTTTGGGGCGCCGGCGCTGTCGTGCTTTGGCAGCATGTCCAGGGCCTCGAACCAGTGATGGCCTCGCTCTTTCAGCTCAGGTACCCATCGGCTACAAGCAAAAAGCTGCCTGCAAAGCCGTCCAGGGAGCCGAAGCCCATGTATCGCAGCACGCGGGCTGCGCAGGGTTTCCGATCCTAGCCCGTGGGCCCGTGCCGGACAGCTGAAAGGCACATGGCTCCGGCCTTGACTTCTGACAACTGCGCTACCGTGTCAGAGGCAGCGTTGAGGGTAGCAGCCGTCGCCACATCCTGGAAGGCCACCCGGATGCTTGGAGCGCAGTCGGGTGCAAGGCAGCTGCGGTTGCCAGACCCTGCGTCTCAAGTAGCTGCTCGTAGCCTCCATTTGCGAAGCTGGAGGGCACTCACAAAGGTAGACATCCGGCCCCTGGAAAAGGACAAAGGACAACACAAGTTTACTTGTGCCATGTTAAACAGCCACGCACGCGAAATGGTCAAGCCGGGAAAGGTCCAAGGAGTGATGGGGGGCAGGAAAAAAGGAAGAAAAGGAAGAAAGAAAGAAAGAAAGAAAGAAAGAAAGAAAGAAAGAAAGAAAGAAAGAAAGGAAGGAAGGAAGGAAGGAAGAAAGAAGGAAAGAAAGAAAGAAAGAAAGAAAGAAAGAAAGAAAGAAAAAAAGAAAGAAAGGAAGGAAGGAAGCTAGAAAGCTAGGAACGAAAAAAGGAAGCAAAGCAGGGAAGGAGAAAGGCATGGAGGGAGGGAGGGAAAAGCAGGCCCGAAGCTGCCTTCCAAGGCTACCTCGAGGCCAAGCCCGCCCAGAGCAACGGTTGGCCGGCGGGGGCTTGGCAAGATCCCTTGGACCAGCACCTGCGCGAATCTTCAAATGAGTTTTTTGGATGAATGCAGCAGGGTCAAGCTCGATGGCCCAATTCCTTTTGTCAGTAAGGTGGCTGAGCCAACATGAAGTTGCGCCATCCAGTTTCATCCAACTCACAGTTAGTGCACTGCTTGAGCAGCTCAGCAAAACCCAAATCAAATTCAACGAGTCCATTGTTTGTTCGAGTCAGGAACCCTGTTTGGGGGACCTGTGGCCCCAAACCGCGCTCTGCTCCTGCGGGCCACTTCCCATGTCCAGCGTTACAACCAGTTGGCTCCATTTGAAGGGCAGCCGAAGGAGGTTCTTCAAACAAATGTGGTTGAAAAAACAGTTTGAGCAAGGGGGCTCTCCTCTTGAGCGTCTTGCCTGACGAAAAAAGAAGGATGGCCCACGTTTGACCAAAGGTGTCAGCAAACAGGGAAGCAAACCGGCACTTTTCCCGGTCCATATTTCCCGACTGTCGACTCGTCTCAAATGAGGAAGCTGTTGGTCAGGTTCCACAATGTTCCACATACGTGTCAAAAAGAAGAAGAAAAGTAAGTGCCCCGTGCCCAAAGGGGGCAAAACAAGGAAACCACACGGGTTCAATAGGGGTACAACTGTCCCAGAAAACATCTGGCGTTTAAGCAACGCCCAAGCAACAAACAACTGGATCTGCTCATACTCCAACCCCTGCCTCTCCAGCCAGCCCAGCAGCAACGGCCCTCAAACACGACACTGTGGGGAAATGGGAAAAAGGCGACGCCTTCATGGGTTAGGGGATGAAACCCCGCACTCACTGAGGGGGACGGGTCTGCATTCTAGATGCTAACAAGCAGGAACACCCCCTCCCAACAATAAAAAATGCTAGTCCCGAGGTACCCCCGTGATATCGGGGTCTGTTAGAAAGCAGCGCCCGCCCCTAAAATTGCGCTTCAGCACAAACAGCACAAGTCAGTGTCTTGGTGCCTAAAGAGAGGGGAAAAAATACACACACACACACACACAGCCCCCGACTGCAAACTGACCCAGCCCCAATGTTTGAGACTGGCATGCACTGTCTGCTTCCTCTCCCCGGAGGCTTAAGGACACCGTGGTAGCAGGTTGCAAGATTTTTGCAACCCCAAGTACTGATCATCAACTCGCCACAGGCTTTCCATTCCAATCGACACTCATTTCACTTTAAGACCCCACCTGTCATATTGGCCTGAAGCTGCAAACTGCTCCCTCCGCTGTTTCATCACCCAAACGTACCTCATCATTCCTGGCACTTCTGAACACCAAGTCGGTGTAAGCAAATCCGCAACTGTTTTGCAACCAAGTATTTCGTGCCTCACGCCAGGTCTGAACTATTCGTGCATCGTCAGGATCCCAATCACTGCCAGTCTTACCCTGTTAGTGATGTGCTCCCCTTGAGTGAAATTTAGTTGGTGTGAGGGCACATTCAGTGAGCACTATTCTGGTGGTCTCCCCTAGATTTAAACTGCCAAAGTAACAAGAGCTGGTTGAGCCAACCCGTGATTACAAGCAATTTTGGCAGCAGACTATGGGAAGACTGTGCGGAGACTGTGCGAAAACTGCTGGAAGAAGTGTCGGTGATTGGTGAGGATGGAGGTGTCCCTGGTCAGTCTTGGAACAGGTGAGGCACAGGGCTTGCATTCGGCTTACGGCAGGGCTGATTCTTGTAAGCTAAGCAACAGAGACACGAAGAGCACGGCAGAGCCAAATACAATACTAGGGGTAAACCACCGGAAAACTAAGACTACAGGAATACTTTGGCAAGACCTCATGGGAAACTAGGTAGGCCTCTATCTGCTAAAGCCACCCGGCGGACACATAAGTGACTCATAAGTTGACAGACTTACCGGTCTGTGCAGAATTTCAAAAATGCAGCGGTCGACCACAGACATTCCATTGCGCATGGCCAGACACCGCATTTTAGCACACCTTGGCTCTGGCAATTTGGATAAATGATCAAAAGGGCTGATCAGAAGAACCAGACCTTTGGTTGTCGGTTGCTTCTCGGTTTGAGTCTTGGTCAGGTCCATCGTGTTTTTTCAAGGGACGTGCCAATCAAAGGCTTACCCGCGCGCACCTGGCTTTGCCGCTTGATGAGATGAAAGCTGTGTCGCATCGTTCTGGAACTCAAGGCGTGCCTTTGTAGAGCCGAGCACAGTTTCTTCCCCATGGGCCCACGAATGAATTTACCCTGTGGCCTTACTTCAGTTATCAAGAACGAGATCCCTTTCCTCTAGGCCCTTCAAAGCACTTGTGGAGCTAAAGCATCTGCTTAAGCGCCAAGCCACGTCAGGCCACACAGGCGGCTCCTGAATATCAGCGTGCCCTTCCACTCTGCTCTCCAATCAAAGCTCATTTTAAAAACCTCCAATCAGATGGAACAAATCTGGTGGGCGGGCAGGTTGTTCAGGGGGTGGGTAGGCCCAGGGTGGGTTTAGGAGTGCTGTGTGGGTTTCGGGGAGGTTTGGGTTTAGGGATGGTTAAGGGCTGGTTTAGGGTGGATTTAGGGGGGTGCTGAATGGGTGAGTGTCGGGCGCTTGCTTGCCTGTCGTCCAAATTCGGGGCCTTCAATGGGTAGCCCCGCGCACAGCCAGGCCTCCGCGCCAGGCGCCGCGGCCGCGCCATGCGGAGCGGGGAATGTGCCAATGGCCGTTGAAAAATCACCGCGCCAACTGGGCGCCATAGTTTCGTTTTTGTTGGGGGGGGAGGCCGTGCAAAAAACAACAAAGATCAATCCCCTTGTGGCTTTCTTTGCGGAAAAAACAAAAGTTTCGAGGTATGAGTGATTTAGCACCCGTTTCCTGACTGGCGCAGATTGGAACACACATCTGCCCGAGAGTCCTGAGGGCAAAGCTGCGGCCAAATCTTCATTGGAGCCCTTAAATTCAAGCAACTCCAAAAACGGACCCCTCAACAACGACATTGATTTCAGATTGGTGAGTTGATGGACAATTGAAAACCTGGCTGTAATAAGGGAAGAGTGCGTGCAGGGAATCCTTCACTTTTGTGGACAGCACCCCCCCATTTTGATGCACAAGGTCTAATATGGATTGCCATGACATCAAACATGTGTGCCCGCAACTTCTCTGCAATGTCTATGTGCCAGAGTGCGCAAAACTCTCTGCCACATGGGTGTTTCCGAACACTCTGGATATCACTTGAAGTTTCTGGATGTTCCTTACACATTGTCGCACAAGGTGGTGGGCGCGCAGCCAACACGGCAGCGCTCCAGCCCCAATCCATTTGTTTGACAAAGTCAAAAAGACCGCGACTCCGAGCCTGGCCCTCAAAGGTTTGTTTCAACAAGCAAGAGCATGTTGCAGGTGTTTCGTCCATCCCTGATGCAAACAGATGTCAGGAGAGACCCGCCCCCGGAACGGTTTCAGAATCCTTTGATCAGACCTTCAATCAGAATCTGTCAGTGGGCATAGGATTCCACCCGCCTTCCCCTAAACCCGGCACCCCCACATCCATTTTTCAGCAAAAGACCTCAGCAAGTTCGGATTTGCGTGCTTCCCAACAAGCAAGACCGACTGAGGGGTGGGTGGATGCTAGGAAACCAGCCGTCTCACACTCAAAAACCTGGCAAGTACACCACAAAGGGCCCTCCCAACAAACATGTAAAGAATGAGGGCGCCCGCAACTTGCTAAATTGACGGTTGGTAACTGTTCGCTGCTAACCTTCATTTACCAATTGTTTTCTAGAAAGGGCACCACAACTCGCGCCTTGATTCATTTACACCTGTCTGAAAGAGATGCCGCGATTTATTTTCTTATCGTAGGAAAGGGAATTACGAAACGAAATGAGTCGGAATTGTGCACTTCACGTGTCCATGTTTCCCTTTTAAACCTGTCAAGTAGAGGCCACTGCCACTTCTTCTCACTTCCGGAGCCAATGGGCCAACAACAGGTAGCTAAGCTTTTGGTCGCCAAAAAGTAGCTCAAGTCCGGGAACCAGGGAGTGGTGTTTTCTCTTCTTTTTTTGGATCTGCCGTAGAAGGACAACGAAAGGGACACCGCCTTTTATACACACGGCAATACATTTCCATCGTACCGATTTTGGGCCTGCTGCAGGAGCTTGGCGCCGCTGGCTGCACGCGCAGGGTGCTTCGACTCCCCGCGCGGCATCACCTCGAGGGAGGACGACAGGCCCCTCTTCCTCTTACTTCTCCCCCAAAAAAAAGCCCCCGTTCCTCCCCGTCTAGCCAACCAAAAAGAGTCCACCCCTTTCTGGCATCCCACGAAGTTCCAAAGTCCCACATCATCTGACGAAAGCATGACGAAGCACATGGCGCACAATGTGACCCGTCGGTTCCACGAATGCCCCCAGCAAAAATGGACGGCGCAAGCCACAGAAAATACGCGCAAAGCCTGGCAGCTCGGATAATGCAACGGGTTGCGCGCAAGCAACTCATGAATGACATACCGGAATTTGTCACTTGGCTGCGGTATCTTTGCGGCATCTCTTTGCTTCAGTCTCGGCTTCCTGATTACCACTCAAGAGTTCTTGCATCGATTTCATCAAAGTGCGGCTCTGTGAGTCGAGTGCCTGGGTCAGCGCCCCACGTGGCAGCTAGCTCTCTCCAGAGTGATAGTTTACAACTCGCGTGTGATCGGGTTCCAACTCTCGTCCAACTTTCGTCAGGGCAGCGTCCAACTCTCGTCAGGGCAGTTTCCAACTCGCGCCAACTAAAGCCTGTGCCCCACCCCCCATTGCGGTTTTCCGCCCTTGGACCAATCGGAAAAGTGTTGAAAGCGGTACGTAAAACCACGTGGCACGTTGGAATTCAGAGTCGTCAGCAGTTGAGTTTGACGTTGGTAACCATCCTCAGTTCCTCCAATGCTTCCTTGTTGGGAACGTGCCCAGAATGGGGATTACAGGGTTGTGTGTCTGGTTAACCCGCAGGATCTTTTTCCCTGCGCCATTCCATTGTGTGGCATGTGTGCTTGGCAGTGCACCAATCCATGCTTTGATGTGGTCGTTGGAAGGCGGTACTTCTTGGATCCGTGGTATACATCAGGTGACTGCCTTGCGGCGACTCGAAATCACGTGTGTGACTTTGTAGTGTGCACGGCACTTTCTCGTCGATGATTAGGGTGACCGTGTGGGCCCCAGTTCACTTGCCATAACGCTTCGCAGTGTGACGCTGAATGGGTACTTCGTACTCGGGACAAAGCACATGCTCGTCTCTTAGCACAGATAGATACTCCAGTGTCTATGCTGGCCTAGGAGCACTTCATGCCCTCAAGGAGGACGTTGTCCCTGATGAAGATAGAAAGGGATGGCCTTGTCGATCATCATCTCCCTCATAACTTTATTGCTCTGCCTACCCCTTCCGCTGCAAGGCGCAGTTTGCTTGTGTGGGTGTCACCTACTGCCAGGCTATCTTGGATTGGCTTTCTACCTGAACCTAGAATTAAGAAGCCAGTCTTTTGGTGCGAACTTCTAATTTCATTTAGACTTGCCAGCGGATTGCGAACCCCGCTTCCAAATCCGGATTCCCTGGTACCTTCGTGTTGCCTGAGTTGATCCCAGTCTCGGTGAGGATATCCTCAAATTCCAGCACTCTATCCGTTCGCTCGAGACCTTTCTGCAATGCCCGCTTCTGCCGTGGGACACTAGTGTACGTGACGATGCTTATCATATCTTTGGAGTTCCTAAGATCAGGATTCAGGGCTTTCAAATTCGGCCCTGGCTCCCTAACCAGGTTGAAGTTTTCCAAGACCCTTTTGGATCGTCGTTCCGGTGGTGTGCTCGTGGAAGCCGTAGTGCCCGCGGTGCCCGTGGTGCCCGTGCTGCCCGTGGTGTGGTCCCGTGGCGCCCGTTGTGTCCGTGGTGCGCATGGCGCCTGTGGTCCCGTGGCTGTGGTGCGCCCGTGGTGCCCGTGGTCAGCAGTGGTGTGGTCCCGTGGTAGCTGTGGTGCCTGTGGTGACGTGTGGCGCCCGTGGTAGTGCCCGTAGTGTTTGTGAGTGGTGTGGTGCCTGTGGTGGTGTGGGTCCCGCGGTCCCGTGGTGTCGTCTCGTGGTGGGCGTGCCACGAGACGACCGTGGTGAGGGTGGTGTGGTTCCGTGGTGTGGTCCCTTGGTGGCTGTGGAAGCCGTGGTGCCGGTGCCCGTGGTGTGGTCCCGTGGCGCCCGTGGTGCCTGTGGTGTTGTCCCGTGGTGTGGCGGTGGTGCCGGTAGTGTTCCCCATAGCGCTCTCCGTAGTACTACTCGTGCTGCTTCCGTAGTGCGATGCCGGGGTGCCACCAGAACCCAAAATAACAACGCGCCCGGATTTCAGCTAGGGCAGACCGCATCAATCCATCGCCAAGTGCTATTTTAACTTGAAGCGGTACCGAAAAGACCAAGTGAAACTGCCTTCATCAGCACCACTTCAGAGGTATACATGCCATCGAGGCAATCAAGAAACATGCGCGAATTAAGTCAGTGACCCAAGAAAAGATGGAGTTATGTCAGGTAGCACATCATGGGCACAGTAAGAAATCTTCCAAAGAATCCCCCCCCCCCCCCAACAAGGGGGCCGATATATCAAGATATGTCGAAGTAGGTTGGCAGAAAGGAGGCCCAATGCAAAAAGGGCACGGACGCAGTGCCATGCAGACAAAAGCACACGGAATTGCAACATTGGCAGGGAATGCAATTGCTATACACCAGAAAAAGGAGATGGCACATCAAGAGGTATCCTAATCGATATTTAAGGCAAGGAATGTCAGGTCGAGCACATTCGACCGGCAGTGCAGAGAACCGTCCCCCAGCCGCACGCCATTATTAGGCACCGTACTCATTCAAATTCACTGAAGAGCACAATCGCAGAACGTACCCTCGTGCAGATACAGCATAAGGGAGGCAGCTGCCTTGCGGACCTTTAGGCTTAGCGGCCTTGATGTTGTGGACGTTCTGGCACTTGGTTAACGGGCCCACTCATATTACTGCCTTCAAGAAGCTTGCCATATGCACCACAAACACCACGGCCACCACACCGCGGCCACCACGGGCACGACGCCACGGGCCCACACCATGCGCACGGTCACCAGGGCACCACGGGCAGCATGGGCACGACGGGCACCACGGGCGCCACAGCTACCACGGGATCGCACCACGCGCACCACAGGCACCACGAGGCACCACGAGGCACCACGGGTAAACCAACCCTAAACCAATCCTACACCACCCCAAACCACGGGCAACAGGTGCCACAGCCACCACGCCCTACAAGCTCTGAACCAACCGCAAACCAACCCCTAACCAGCCCTAAACCAACCCTAAGCCAGCCCTAAGCCAACCCTAGCCACCCTATATAAACCGACTCAACCACCAGCCATAAACCTAAACCAGCCCTAAACCAACCCTCAGCCAGCCATACACCATAACCCCAAACCAACCCTAAACCGGGCCCAAATCAACCCTGAACCAGGCCCAAACCAACCCTAAACCAGCCCTAAACCACCCTAAACCAAGCCTAAACCAACCGCAACCAACCCTAAACCAACCGTAAACCAACCCTAAACCAATCCCTAAACCAACCCTTAACCAGCCCAAACCAACCCTAAGCCAGCCCTAAATCAACCCTTAACCGCCCTTAACCAGCCTAAAGAAACCCACCGGTGTCCAACTCCAGCGGCAGGAGCGTCCAACTCCCGCCGATCTTCTTTCCAACTCCGGGCAGGACAGTTTCCAACTCCTGCCCTGCAAGTTTCCGACACCCCGGTACCTGACTCCCACCGGCGGTTTCCAACTCCGAGTTTCCCCGCCATGGTAGCTGGCGATGAGGCTTACACTGCCAAGTTCGTCGTTCCAAAAACAACAAGAATTACTTTCAATTGGGAAGAAGGAACCTCAACTTTTGCACGCCAACCAAGAATTGCATGTTGTTGTGGCCCCATGCGACCTTCTGCTAGTCGAATTACCGTTCAGGGCAGTGCCCAAGCTGGGCCGCCAGCATTCGCCAGAACCGAGTCCCAAAGGCCACGGGTCAGGAGCTGGCGCATGCCCTGGCCACAGGCTGCGTTGGAGCCAGCTGCACCGTCCCGCAACTGGATGCCTCAACCCTGTGCAAAAAAAAAACATGTGCTTTTGGCCTCGGAACCGGTTGCAAAACAAGCTCTGAGCCATTTTCGGGTTCCCACAAAAACCCGAAGAACAAAAACACACCCTATCTTTTGCGCAAAGCAAGATAAACAAAAGAGAACGCAATGCCTCCCAAGGAAGACCCTTCGAGGATCCGCCTGCAGATCCTCTTCCAGCCGTGCAGTGTCCAAGGAGGGGCCTTAGCAAATCGATCGCCTCGCAATGGAGTTGCCAAACACATGTTCGGATCTGCGCCTACGACCAAGATCTGGAACATGGGACATTCCCCATGAAAATATTGAAAGGGAAAACAGGGCCCTCTTATTTTGCTCGGGTCAGCGAGTACATGTTGCCCCGCAGGCAAATGCAACCAGAATCCTGATAAACGTCCACTTCCAGCAAGCAAAACAATGAACGCAATCATTTGCGCCCGGGTGCTGTAAAAACCAATCACTGAAACTGCTTTCTTTCATTATAGTTCTTTTTTCTTGCCTGGGGCTGCATTTGTTCCTAGGTCTTTCGCATCCGATCACCAGCCTCACTTGGACCGAGGGCTATTTGTTAGCTTTGCTTGGGTGGCAGTTGGGAGGAGGGAGGCCTCTAAATCCGTTTTTGACCCCAAGTGGATATTTTGCAACGGGGCTGGTTGCTTGGCAGGTCTGGTTCCCTGGCTGGCCAGGAAGCACGAGCTCCGCATCATGGGAACAAATCATGGTGACCAAGTTCCTCCCCCTCCTCCCCGGCCCCTCCTTTGTCTGCGTTCTGTGAACACATGTCGCTCCCCTGTAATCATGCCTCCCGCCTCTTTCCCTCTTGCTCTTTGCTTCGGCGTCGGAGTGCCAAATGATGCTTCGGGTGCGCTCTTGGCTGGCTGGTACGCCAGCCTGGGTCAGTCTTGGGTTGGTTTGGGCTCCGCAAAGGGCTGACATCCAGGCTGGCTTGAGGCTGAATTTCATTGGGTTTGGGTTCGCTTGGAGCTCTAAGGCCTGCGCTCGCCGCTTCTGGCGCCTGTGCTGGATTGCGGGGCACCCCTGTTCTTGGAGTTGTCCCGGGTGGAGCGCCATCTGATTTCTCTCTATCCCAAAAAGTAAGAGAGCGATTGCTTTAGGAAAGCTGGGAGCAGTGTGTGGATCCCTGGAAACAAATGAGTACAAGTACCACACTACAGCAAGCAGGTGAAAGCCTTTTCTCTCTAGCTTATGATATCACCAGGCCTTGGGCCAACGCCAACATGAGTAACGCAGAACAAAGCAAGAACCCCCCCTGCCCTTTAGAGCCTCTCCAACCGGAGGTTCCAGGTCATCACCTGTGGGTGGAGAAACATCACCACATGCCACGCAAAATCCATCACACGAGCCGCAGTCAACATTCCCCCCAGCGATGTCAGGGGGTCCTGCATCTCTCCTTCGACGGCGTACAAGATCGGCCACAAAGGTAAAAAAACGGGTGGGTGTTCAGAGTTTCTTTTTCCACGGAGTGGATTTCACCTAGCAACCACAAACGCGAGGTGCCCGTAAAACCACGCGCCATCGCCGAGTCCGGGACGTAGCTCAGAGAGCCTTCGCACCCTCAGCCTGAGGATCCATGGGCCATGAGCCTTGTGAGGCTCATTCAAGAAATTGCTGGATTGGTTGGGTTCCAAAAATGTTTGAAATGGAGATCTGCTGCAAGAAATCCTTGAAACCCAAGGGAAACAGCAAATCACGCAGCTACCTTTGGCCCCCGCGATTTCCCAGGCATCCGAAATCTGGCGGGGCGCGCAAGGCCAGGCAGCAAATGAACTTACGGTTCCAAACATGAGGGATGGTTACAACAGCCCGTAAAGCAAGCCTTCAATGTAATCCCCTGCTGAACCAGGGCGTCCATCTTGGGTCACTATCCTTACTCCGGACGCCTTTGCGCTGACTTCCAAGCGCGTCGAGGGCACATGTGCTCCGGAGATATGCGATTTGTCTGCCTTGGCTACACGAGCCAGAAAGCCGCCACTGAATCAATCAATCAATCAACTGGCGGTTCCTTACTTCGCCCTTCAACAGCCCGCACAACGAGCTGACTTGTCAACGCCGCCTTTAGGGAGCTGGCGAGATGACGTCAGCCTCAGTCCGGTAGGTTCTTCAGGTATCAGCTAGCAAACGCAAAGCTGCGCTCGTGTTTTGTTGAAACGTTGTTCATGAAAATGATTGCAAAGCCAACAAACAGTTTTTAAGGTTCTGACTGAACATCAAAGCACAAGATATACTTTCAAAACAAGAACCGGTTTTAGTGGGCTTCCTTTGGCTCTTCTGTGTTGTTTCCTTTTGGGGGGTTGCTTCTCATGGGGCAGGGCAACCAAAACTTGAGTTCCCCGGTTAGAAATCCAATTTTACGGGGGCCCGTGTCCGACTTCCGCAACTCCTCACTCCGGGAGCCCGCGCTGGACTCACACTTCGCGGGGCGGCCCCGTAGATCCTGGCTCCAGCTCTGGAAAGTCAAGCCGCGGTTACATGCCGCAACTTAGGTTTGGTTTAATCTCTAAGTTTTCTCCTTAAACATCCGCTCCCACACGCACATTGGATTGGCCCAAAAGGTAGCCAAAAGGAGAAAAGGGAGCTTACCCCCCCACTACTTGGAACCCAACTGGGGCAACTGGGTTAGACCATTTGACTCTAGGATCTTTGCGCTTCCTCTTTCCCTACTTCCAGCATCTGGGAAGCCAACCGCGGCAGGCATCACAAACTCCGGGGCTAAAAATAATTCAAGGAAAATACGACACAAAGAGCCCGCATCCCTTTCCGATATCGCACGCGCGGACGGGAGCCCGTCCACTTTTTCTCGGGATACAGCAAGCGAGTTACACGCAGCAAGTCCATCTACGTCCGGCAGGCTCACTAAGGGCCTCAGACCTGGCAAGCTGCAAGAGCAGGCCATGTGGAAATGGAAAGATCTGTGATGCGAAAGTGGTTTTCCATCCTCACTGTTTTTTTGTTTTTCTTTTGAACTTTTGCAGGATGCGAAGCGGCAAACGACCCCCCGTCCCCCCCCCTCCCCGCATTTTCCTCCCAGTTTCCACGACCTCCCAATCTGCACCATCCTTGTATCCGCACCTCGATCGCGAGGAAGTGCTCGCACACTCCTCGCGACCTGTGCGCGAACACGGG